TCTATCTATCTATCTATCTATCTATCTATCTATCTATCTATCTATTTAAATAAATAAATTGTTACTATGTGTCTCTGCCCTTGGCATGTTCCCCATGTACCTTGAATCTCCCCCTTTTTCTAATTGTTCCTCTAATACTTACGTTATGGGGGTGTACAATGGCCATGGAGAAGCAAAAGATTTAGCCTCCTCAGAAGGAGCTGAAAGTCCAATGGGAAAAGATTTTGAGGTTACAATTTTTACCTGATCATAATCAGGCGGGGGGCTTGTAGTCAATTGTTGTCCTGCTGAAGCATCAGAGCCAAATTTTTCCACTGCTTGACGGCATTGATATCATCGATGTAATATTTGGACTGGAGTCCTGGGTTCAAGATGTAAAGTATGCCCTATCTTTATCCAATCCCTTAAACCGAGCGTCTTGCGCTCAGGATACCAGGGTCAATGTTTCCCTACCTCCTCAACCAGCTTCCTTATTTCTGCCCCAGGCACTGTAACACCTGACTTGTGGAACAGGAATCTGAGTTCCTGTACATGTTTATGCTGGTGCTGAGATAGATTGTAACCCATACTTACCACTGAGGGGTCCCGGAGGACGGAGGTGCACCTAGGGGTCTATTCCAGATGATGGTAAGTATGTTGGCTGTTGCTCCCCATGGGGGGGTTGTAGTCCCTGGTCAGGAACCAGCTGATGGAGTTCAATGACCAGTCATTTTGCAGGGTGCCAAGATGTCAGACTGCCTGTGCAGCGTTTATTGCTTTTATATAGTTTTTACAAGCAGAAAAAGGTAATAAAGAAACCGCATTTTTATTGGTGAATCCCCTCACCAATCCTTAAGAATATACAAGTAAGGAAGTGGTGATGTTAGCAGGTGAGATCACGTACCAGCTAGGGACAGTTCTGCTGAGTGAGATACATGTAGGTATTTGAGGCCCATGTAGGTATTGAGGCACGGCAGTGTGCTGCTCGTGTCCCCTACAGGACCTCTATCTCTACTACATTGATCCCCATCCCAGATTAAAAGGAGATAAAGAAATAGCATGTGCAAGATAGTCATTGCTGTAGAAACACTATTTTTCTCAGTGCTTCTGCAAACAAAGAAATCTTAGATGGCTAGGCTGAGGTGGGCAGTTTGCCTAGAACGTTATCTTGCAGTTATCGGTTTACAATGGAGCTTAGCTCTGCAAGGGAATCAAAATTCAAACCAGCCGCACTCTGTATATGCTCTTAATCCATATTTTGCTCAAAGCAGAAAATTGACACTAAAGTTTGACCCAAATATATTTTAGAGCATTGACTCAAAATACCTCATTTAGATTGTTTGTTTTATCTAAGTTGTTCTTCTTACTGCCCTCTTTTATGTCTTTATGTCTGTGTGCCTAACGGATGCTTAAGAGTCAAGATGCTTCATCCTATGCATTCATTGTTTGTTTGTTTGTTAGCAACACAAGTTTTCCTTTTAGGAATTGTTACAGAAATGAGTTAGAAATTACAATATGTAGAAAGAGAGAGAAAATGTCTAGGATTGCCTGGATATTATAGGTTGAATAAAGACTTGTATGCAAAACTAAAGGCCTAGTGTTACATGGATAAGGGAATGGCTTTTAAACAGCCAGTGGCATTTTTGTCTAAAATGCTAGACCCTATCTGTCAAGGATAAAAGAAGGAGATTTATAGGGAGGATTGGATCTTGAAAATTATTGTGTTGCGGTAGTTGTGTGAAAGTAATAGCAGGAAGAGACGGACTTTTGGTCTAGCTAGCTAGAAAGTTATTTGCACAGATTTGTGCTGAGTTGGAAGCCATGATGGCAGTGCTAGGAGAAGAAGGAGTTAGAGAAAGTGGGGGCAATAGAAATGAGGGAATGAGAGGGTGGAACCAAGTGATAAGGGGAAGAGGACATGTTGATATGGGCAGGGAGGACAGAGTGAGAAGATGTTTTGGGTGTGGCCAGCCTGGACATTTCAAGAAAGACTGCCTGATCCAAAGAAGGGAGGCGCAAGTTTATAATATGATTGCAGAGATGAAATTAAGTAGGATCTAAGGAATAGGAAGTTGTGTTTTTAATTGGCACTGGGGCAGCGAGAACTTTAATATCAGAGATAACTTTAACTGCAGAGATGAAATTAAGTGGACAAAGTATTAGAGTATCTGGAGTAAGATTTGAAGTACCCAAATTAATCCCCCTCTAATTGGGAATAAATTTCTGGGAAGGGATTCCCTGGCAGATCTTCAATTGAAATTTGAATTTGGGCCAGTAAAGATGATTCCTATGAAGGTTTTGAACCCCACTTAAAATAACACTCAAGAATCCAAACGAGGTAGTTAGGCAAAAGCAGTACTCAATTTCGAAAGAATAGAAGGGGTGGCATCCCAACCCTTACCTAAAAACAAGCAAGAACTCAGAAAATTCTATGGCTTGATGGGATACTGCAGACTATGAAATGATGGGTGTGCTGATCTCACCCAACTCCTGTATGCAAAGTTAATTGAATCTGAACTTTGGAATTTGAAGTGGGAGGGAAATGAAAGAGGAAGCTTTGAAAATTTGAAATAAGCCTTAATCAAGGCTCCTGTGTTAAGTTTGCCAAATTTGGAAAAGCCATTCCATCTCGTAAACACAGAGAATGGAATTGCACAAGGTGTGTTGGCTCAGGACTGGGCAGGACAACGGAAGCCTGTGGCATTCCTGTCAAAAATAATGGAAAATTGACCTTTGGGGGAGCCCTCATTGTGAGCACCCCACATCAAGTCAGAACCATTCTCCAGCAAAAAGCAGGAAGAGGGCTGACTGATTCCCAAATTCTGAGATATGAGGCAATTTTGATGAAACAAACAGGTTTGGTTTTAACCACAGACCATAATTTGAATCCAGCACATTTCTTAGCCAACACTAGATCAGTGGATCAATATGGATTAGAACATTATTGTTCTGAAGTAATAGACTTACAAACTAAAATAAGATTTGATTTGGGGGAACACCCCCTTGACAAAACAGAGGCAATTTTAATAGATGGTTCTTTTGGGGGGGGACCACAGAAAAACATACCAAAGAGTAATTGGGTCAGCAAAGTTCTTAGGGGAACTTTGGGCGGCACCACCCTTTGTCCTAACTTCCACCACCCGCCCTGGGACCAAGTGGCTCCCAGTTCTTGAGCCCATTTTTCTTCCTCTTTAGTATAGGATGGTTTCAACAGGGATGTTTCCAACTGATAGGGAATCAGGGGCCAGACCTGTTCCGGGGCCAGCTGAGCAGCCTCTTTTGCTGCATTGTCTGCTGCCCTATTTCCTTTTGCCACCAAGGTGTCTTCATTGGAATGACCCCTGACATGCATGACTGCAACCTCTTGAGGGAAGTGTACAGCTTCCAGTAATTGTATGAACTGGGACCCATGTTTGATTGCCCCCCCACCCCCCGGGCAGTGAGCATAACCCTTTCTTTCCAAATAGCCCCATGAGCATGTAAAACTCCAAATGCATATTTACTGTCTGTGTAAACATTAACCCTCTGCCCTTTTGCCAACTGGAGGGCCCTTGTTAGGGCCGTGATTTTGGCCAGTTGTGCAGATGTATTTGGGGAAGGGGTCCTGATTCAAAAATCTCCCAGGGTGTGACCACTGAATAACTGGCCTTGCGGACACCATTCTGGACAAAACTACTGCCATCAGTGAACCACTCGCAATCTGCTTTTTCTAGTGATTCGTCTGACAAACCAGGTTGGCTTTGTCAGAAATAAGTAAATTCAAAAATAAAATGGTATATAAGATGCTTAAAGGTTTCACAAATGGGGGTTGGACTGGATGACCCTTCCAATTCTGTTAATCTGTTGTTGAAAGGCTTGGAAAATGCCTTTCTTCTGAGGATTCGATTTTCCTGCTGGGAGAGCTCCGGTGCAAGGATACAGACAACTGCTTGAAAGCTGGATCTTTTTATTTTTCAGGAAGGCAAGAGATAGCAAGAAGTCTGCGTTCCTGGGGCTAGCTAGCTTTGTATGATAAGCCCCTGATTTTTATACTTTTTTTCTCCTTTTGTGTGTGAGTGCTTGTGTTTGTATTTCTTAATGTTTTAAATCCTGTCAGGGGTTGTCTTCATTTCCGCCGGAGGGTAAACTCCGTGGGGTGGTTTGATTGAATTATCAGTTTCGTCCTAATGTTTTCTTATATTTGTTTTGTGGCAATCTCCTGTCTGTCTCCTTTGCAATATATTTTGTGTCTTTTGTCTGTTTGTTTTGCTGATTTGGCATGTTTTCTTTTCTTGTTTCCCTAGTTTTCTTAATTATTTGGGCTTTTGTCTAAGGGGCTTCTTTAATACCTTTTATTTGATTCCTTTTCCTATGCAAGTTTGTTTTATGGCTGGCTTGATGTTCCCTTTGGGCTTTTCCTGCTTGGGTGACACCACTGTCCTCGTGACGTTTCCTTTCCACAATCCTTCTTTTTTTTTTTTTTTAGAGGGTGGTCTCTGATTGAATGTCTGGGTATACTTGGTATTCGTGATCAATCTGGATCATTATCATGGCCGCCTGTCTCCCCTTTAATTTTCTCTTCTGAGAGGGAATACAGGCCTTTAGGCAGCTAAGGCAGTGTGGTATGCATCGACAGAGGCAACACATGAGGGCTCCAAAGACACATATGGTGACTGTGGTTGTTATAAGGATTTTGAGCCAATGGAAATCTGGCATCCATGAGAAGAGCCATGAAAAGTCCAGGAATGATTGCTCCTGACCAATATTCTGAGATAGCTCTTTCAGGTGGTGGATGTCCCTCCCTACGAGTTCTGCGGTTTCATCCAGATTGAAGCAACACATCCCTTCGAATGTTTCGCAGCCATAATTATGCTTCAAGAGAAGGAAGTCTATTGCTGCCCTATTCTCCAAGGTGGCTTCTCTGACCTCCCTCAGTTCTCTGTTAAGGGCATCCAGGCCATGGGAGGTCAAATTCAAGCTTTTTTGCCAGGGTACATGCTAGTCTATTCAAATTTTTAGAATTTCGCACTGCCAATCCAGGTAACCCTACCAAGGATATTGCCAATGAGATGTATTCTGTTTTTGTGTGAAGGGAGACTTTGGAATCACAGTCTGAGTCTAGGGTTTGGAAGGCTCTCCTGTGTCGTCTCTGTAAGGATGGCATAAGCATGGTTAACCTTCCCAAGGTGCAGGGGCCATTTGTGGCATTTGCAGGATGGTATGAGTTGGCTTTTAAGCCACAAAGGAAAAACCATCCTGGTGGGAGCTTCAGGTAACTATATGAAAATGATATGATCTCTGTATAGTTGCATTTTAGTTCTGTGTTGCTAAGACTGGTGCATTCTGTGACCCTAGGTGAGCTGCACCCAGTGACATTATGATTTCCCTTCTGCTAAGCAAAAGTTAGTGGTGTTGAGTATTTCTCTTGCTAAATATTCCCATATGTTTCCTTTCTCTGGGATAAGCTTTGGTTCCAGGAACGCAGTTGCTTGTGTTACAAATGTTATAATTGTTACAGATAATAATAATACATAGTATATATTGCATTTCATGTTCCCCATTGCTAGATTCCTTTTCTTCCCTTCCTCCCCCCCTCCTTTTTTTTTTAATAGCAATGTAAAAAAATGTAAAAGGTCAAGTATCAAAAAATTATGACAAAGGTATGGTTAAATTCCTTTTTGTTAAAAAAAATACGATGAAAAAAGGTTTAAAAAAAAAGAAAAAAATGGAGAAGGTGAGAGAAAAAAATAAAAAAAAAATAGTTTATAACTCAGCACCTGGGAGTCCAGTTTTGTGTAATGCAATGTTTGCACTTGGTTCCTCACAGTGGTGTGGTTCAACGGTGTTGAAGAATGCTGCAAGCGTCCATTGATCTGTGTCCCGATCTTTCTTGAGTTTGATGGGTGGGATTGATTGTGGTGGAGTTTGGCTATGGTCTATGACTGCTGGCTTTGCATGTGTCCAATGTAGCCAAGAGTCTCGTTCTGCAACCTTTATGGCAGTGTGTATAGTTAGTAAGACTTGGTAGGGTCCTTTCCACCTGGGTTGTAGAGGGGAGGTTCTTGTCGTGTCCGTCGCAGGGAAAGGAGACTCGGAAGCCAGTGACTTAGTTCAGCTCTTTATTAATTCCCGAGATCGGCTCGGGCTACAGAAGAAAAGCGGCTGCTTTTATTCTTTGGCTGCCGCGGCCGCGGCCAATGGCACCCCTTTGAATCTCCCGCGATTAGTATCCACCAATCGCGGGGGATTCACGGCGGGCCAATCAGTGCGGCTCGCTCAGCCAATCAGGTTGCCGTGCGTTCCGACCAATCACAACGCGGCGCTTCCAAGTATGCTAATGGCTCGTACAGAACACCCCTCCCCTCTTGGTATGGTCCTACGTAACGTAGTCCCGTAAGTAGGCAGGGCTCCGTACTTGCCTACTTGACTTGCGCAGGTTAGTTGCTGGTTGGCCTTCGGCCGGTTCGGTCGGGTTCTGTGTCGCTCTCTGCCTCGTCGATGGAACCGCCTGGAAGTGTGAGCCGGGCCTTTCGTTGCAGCTCCCTCCCGGTCTACCCGGGCTGGTCGAGCTGCTGTTGTCGCTGCTCCTGCTTGGTCCTTCCGGGCTGGTTGAGCTGGCCTGGCTGCTTCTCCCTGGTGAGGCTTCGAGCTGGGTGTCTGTTTCTGTTTCGGTTGGTAAGTATTCCTGGTTTCTTTCTGGTTGGGGTTGGTTCCCGGGGCCTTCCCTCCCCTCTTGGTTTGTGCTGGGGAGCTTCCCTTCTCTTTCTGGGTGTTTGTCTGTGCTTGTTTGCGTGTCGGTTGTGTTTCCCGTGGTTGTTCTTGATCTTATTTGATCGATGTGTCGTTTCCATTCTTGTCCGTCGGTTGTTTGTAGCCGGTACGAACGGGGACCTGTCGCTTGGGTTATCATCGCCGGTATCCAGAGGGGGTCCCCTCTCAGGTTTTTTGCGTATACTGCGTCGCCTGGTGTAAACGTTCGGTACCTGCTTGATGAATTGGTGGGTTTTTCGGGGTTGTATGTGGGGTGCAGCCTATCCAGGGGGGACCTTAGTTTCCTCCCCATTAGGAGTTCTGTGGGGCTTTTGTTGGTCGTTGTGTTTGGGGTTATGTGCTGGATGAAGAGGAGTTTATTTATTTTTTCCTGCATGTTCCCTGTCTCGATTTTTTGGATTGTTTTTTTTTTTGTGAATTGGACCATCCGTTCCGCCCTACCATTCGCCGCCGGATGAGCCGGCGCTGTCAGGGCATGCCGTATACCCCGTTCCGCTAGGAATTTCTCAAATTCCAGAGCGGTGAACTGTGGTCCGTTATCTGACACAATCACGTCTGGGAGGCTGTGGGTTGAGAATAGTCTGTTGAGTTCTCGGATGACGGCCTCGGTGGTGGTAGTTTTCATGTCGCTTACCTCCAGCCAATTGGAGTAAGCGTCTACCATTATGAGGAATGTGTGTCCTTTTGTGGGTCCGGCGAAATCTATGTGTATCTTGGACCATGGTCCCCTGGGGGTTTCCCACTCCCGGATTGGGGCGGCGGGTGGGCATGGTCTGGATTCCTGGCATTGCTTGCAGCTAGCCACCCAGGCTTCAATTTGCTTGTCCATCCCTGGCCACCAAGCGTAGCTTCTGGCCAAGGCTTTTGACCTGACGATTCCCGGGTGCCCCTCATGTAACAAGTCCAAGAACCTTTTTTGTAATTTTTCTGGGATTACCACCCTGTCCCCCCATAATATACAACCCTTTTGCGTGGAAAGTTCCAATTGTTTGTTTTTAAAAGTCCTGAATGTCTCGTCAACGTCCTTTTCCAGCCAGCCCTTCTCCGCCCATTGTAATACCCGCGCCAGACGTTTGTCTTTATTGGTTTCGTGGGCAATGTCTGACGCGGTTAGGGGGAGGTTGGGTATGGACTCGATGCTCAAGGTGGATGTTGTGGGTGCTGGGTCGGCGTCCAGGTCGGGTAGCGGTGTGCGGCTCAAGGCGTCTGCGTGTGAGATCGTTTTTCCGGGTCGGTGGATCAGCCGGTAACTGTAGGCGGCGAGGAACTCAGACCACCTTGTCATTCTTGGGGATAGAATGTTCAGGGTGGCCTTGT